CGAAACCCTTTAGTCCCGGTTTGAGACACGAACCCTTTTTAGTCTTGGTTTGAGACACGAATCGGGACTAAAGGGTATCGCACCCTTTAGTCCCGGTTCGTGTCTCCCTTTAGTCCCAGTTCGTGTCTCAAACCGGGACTAAAGGTCTCAGTTGAACCGGGACTAATGTCTTTAGCGCTCGAACCAGGACTAATGCTCACATTAATCCCGGTTACACAATCAAAACTAATGTGTATATTGTGTTGTGACCAAAGCTTCGTTTTCTACTAGTGCAACTGCTGGAGATGCTCTAAGGCAGGCTGGTGCGGTGCCATGTAGGTGGCCGCACCTGTCAACTTCTTTTTGGCCGTGTGTTTAGCACATGTATAGGGGAGTGTTGCTGATTTCGCTGCTCGAGATCATGCAGGAATCGTGATCATCCAGAGCGAGGAAGTAAACACATACTCATATAACGAAACTAACAAAGTACCGTACACCGTAGCTAATACAAGCATCAATCTTGTCAGCTCGTTAGGCTCATGTGAGTGTGAGTCTACATAAACCTCACCATACACTCTAAATTTCGGTCATGCCTACAGTTGATAACTCGCTACGCTATAGCCTATGCTACGTGACGGCGCACTTCTAGTTGACTAGTTCTATGGCGGCGGTAATCTCGCAGTCGAAATCGACTAGGCGAGCCTGTTGCAGGACGGACACCCCGTGAGCGTCGAGCCCTTTGAACCGCCGACGAGGAGGACCGCGCGTGTCTCGGCGAGCTCTCGCCGGAGCCGCGCGTTGTCGTCGCTGAGACGCTCGCACCACCGGCGCAGCAGCTCGCAGTCGAGCTCCGTCTGCTTGAGCTTGGTCCGCGCCCTCCTGTTCTGGAACCACACCTCCACCTGCCTCGGCTTCAACCCAAGCTGCCCCGCAAGATCCTGCTTCTCACCCTGCAATTCAAAAAAAATCCGGTCAGAATCTTCTTGCATGCAAATTACTTTGCACCTATTGATGAGATTGAGTAGAAGATATGGACGTACATGGGAGAGGACGTTGTGGGCGCGGAAGCTCTTCTCCAGCAGCGCCGCCTGCTCCGCGGTGAGCCGGAGCTTCTTCCTCGCGCGGCCGGCTGCGTCCCCTCCGTCGTCGCCATCGTCGACGTCGCTGCCGCCGTGCGCAGCCCTTGCCCTCTTGCCATGCTGCCTTGTACTACCGCCTACTATCCACTTCTCCCCTTTCTTCCTTCCAGTATTTCCCGGCACACGACCCTCTGCCTCTGGCGGTAGCAGAGGGGCCTGCACCGGCGGCGGTTGGCTCCCGGCACCGATCACGAGCGACAGCCTTGTGTCGACGAGCTCCTCCGCCTCCAGCGACTCCCTACTAGCGCTGCTCATGGTGGTCAGGCTAGACATCTCGAACCAAAATCAACTGAATTCGCTCGTGCCGTCGAGAGGGATATGGAGGTATGCCGCCGGCGCCGGGTAGCTAGGTGATGATGGCCAACAGATGGGGTGTGTTCGTGGAGGCTTTATAGGTGGCGTGGCTACGAGACACTGGACACGGTCGCATCCCACGTATGGTTTCGTGTGCGAGTTAAGCAAAGACAATTTTTTAATTTTTTTAGGAGTAGGCAAGATTACTACGGGTGATTGATGCTTGGTTTGACTACTGAGGGGAAAATCTTTATTGAGGGATTTGACCGAGCAAAACTAATTAGCCAAGGCTAATAAAACTGGCTCATATTCTTACCCAAGTTCATCAATATAAAGTTTCTGCTAGCTTCCGATCAAAATAGATGGACTTTTCCCGCAAAATAAAATAGATGGACTTTGAAATTTTAGCTTCTAATGTAGTAACGTTTGATAAATAATTTTTGTAAAGGTATATATGTAAACAAAATAATAGATTTTTAATTACCATGCTGGTTATTATTAAGGGACATACTAGCATGCATGCATGGCAGTTTTGCGAAACTGTCAAACTCTGCGTTTAACTTTGTTGGCATTTCTTTCCCCTGCTTGCTCTCACTTTTTATATTATTTATTTGAGATGAAAGAATGCAAGCTGGCGTATCTGGTAGCACGACGTGTAGCATTGAGATTGTATTTAGACAAATTTAACACAAGCTTTCAGAGACAGAAATAATATCATATACTCCCTCCGTTCCCAAATATAAGTATTTTTAGGATTTCAATACAAACTACATACAGATGTATATAGACATATTTTAGAATGTAAATTTACTCATTTTGTTCCGTATATAGTCCGTAGTGAAATCTTTAAAAAAATATTTAAAAACGAAGAAAGTAGTATACTATTTCACTATGCATGGAGAGCAATGCAACACACATGCATGCATGCATGCCAGGAGAGCTTAATTTCCTTATGTGTGGTGCTGACCTGTGGTGCATGCAGGACACTGTGGCATGGCTCGCATGTGCATCCAAGGCAGCCTTGCTTGGCGGCCAACACGTGCGCATTTTACATGGAGAAATATGGCGGTACATGTATGAACGCGGGACTGGTTGCAAGCTCATGGATGGACTAGGTACATGATTGCTGTGCACTCTGGTCATCCAAAACGTCCGCAAACTCGGATGGTCAGATTTGGCCATCATGCTTCATGCATGCACACGTACGCGCAGACTCTTTTCAAACTAATCACCTACTTGTGCAGTAGCCAAGTTAGGATAATTAATTATTAGCACGCAGCAACGGTCATCTCGTCCTGCTGAAAACTGAAAGATGTACCTCCGTTTCTTTTTAGTCCGCATATAAGATTTGATCAAAGTCAAGTTTTGTAGAGTTTGACTAACTTTATATTAAAAAATATAATCATTCACAATATGAAATCAATATTATCAGATGCACCATGAAACGTATGTTCATACTATATAGTTTTTGTATTGTAGATGTTCATATTTTTTTATATAAATTTGATCAAACTTTATGTAGTTTGACTTTGATCAAATCTTATATGCGGAGTAAAAAGAAACGGAAGGAGTATATCTGAAGCAGTCAAGATCTGTTGATATGACACTTTAGTAGTAAAAAATCAGGATATACGTGTCACAATCATCGTTCCATATCATTTGCTTGGTCGTGGCGTCGATCGTTTGCGACTTGGTAATCAACAACGTCCTCGTACGAGCGCTTTCAGGCAACCCGGCCGTGCGTGCTCTCACGCACGTTTGCGACTCCTACTTTGGCTAGGTGACCCATATGTGCGCAGGCGCCGCTGGTCAGCTGCTCTGTCAAACTCCATACGTCTTCTGCTGCAAGGTGCACGGCTCGATCATGTCGTCCCTGGACTCGATCTGTACTTGGGAAGGGAAAAAACGCAAACGAACAAGTCCAACTATTTATAAGTTGATGACCTTTTTTTTGCGGGGTTATAAGTTGATGACTTGGCTTGTCGTACGTACGGCCTGGCTAAACTAATGGTTGTGATTTTCTCGGGACCATGAGAAAATGCTTTTGTAGCAGAAACCACCTGCTACTGCTAGTTATACTCATACACTCATGACATTTTATTTCCACATGTTTGTGTGCCACTGATGATCCCATAATTTGTATTAGGTTCACTTGCCTCAATTAGACTACCAATACGATAACAAAGTCTCCGTTCTTTTAGGGGCTTAAAAATTAAGCCACCCCCTCCCCAGCTTCTGCTTCTGCCTTCTGCAGGAAGATGCCCCCATCTGTTAGCAACCCTCCACGGGTGAGCCGTGGGCCGGCATGAGAGGGTCGAGCCTAGCATCTAGGCCATGGAGCCAGCGACTACAAATACTTGAAAGGGTGGATCGAGCAGGTCATCCGGTTGGATCACGACTGAAACGGCACGGCGGCTTCCTCTCCCACCTCTGGCTCTCCTCCTCAATCCCCTTGTTCTTGCTTGTTCATGTAATCTAGCTACCCAAATCCTTGTATCTGTAAGTGATTCGTGAGATCAGTAGAGAGACCCTAACACTTGGTATTCAGAGCCAAAATTTTCCCCACCACCTCCCACCCGATCGAGCAATGGAGTCGGCGACCAAGCAGGACCTGAAGGATCTCCTGAAGGAGTTCCGAGAGAGCATGAAGGAGAGCATCAGGGAGGCTGTCGCGGTCGGGTTCGGCAACTCGAAGCCGGCATTCGAGCAGGCGACCATCTCGACCTCTTCTCAGTTCCTCGCCATGGACGCCTCCGATGACAAGGATCTGGCACCTGCGTGCTCCAGCCCCGAACAAGGCACGTATGCCCTCGACTTCGCCCCAACGACCACAATCGATGCTCTTCCCGAGCTCGACATTGACGCCACGGGCGTTGCTGCACCAACGCCCACAACCTGCTCGACGGATGGCCTCATCCACAGCACCGATGGAGACGATAGGATGGAGGCGTCGAAGGCTGCTTGGGATTCGTCTACGCCCTTCACCGCACGTCCAGGGGACTCACCAACACCAATGAGTGAGCCATCTGTCGGCCTTGCACTCGGTACGCTGGCGCAGACCAAGTGTTTGGCAGAATGCTCAGGCCAAGTTGATGCGTCCGTCACGGCCAGTGTTATCTTAGCGACTGCTGGCTGCATGCCCACTATCTGTTCGACCGAGTGGGTCACCCATGCTGACAGTCGCATCATCGACTCATCGTCAACAACCCTACCCATTCGGCTCGCAGCTGCAGCGGTGCATCGTTCGTGGGTGCAGACAGTGCCACTGCACCCACCGGACCTGAGGTTATTTTTTTGGTGGGACCATGGGTGTCTAATGAGTGGCTGTGGTGATTTGGAAAGAGTGATGCATCCTAGCCCAAATGAAAGTTTATGCACAAGGCAATGTCAAGAGGTAAAACCCTCGTGTCTGTTTCATGGGATGTCTATTTCTTGGCAATGGTTGGTACACTGGCTAGTCTATGGAGTTGATTTACGTCAAATTCCGTGTCCATCATTTTCAAATGGTGAGCCACCAGATGTGGATTGTTCCAGTGTTGCCAATTGGGACCCCCATATGCCTATTTCTGTTGATGACAAGTTCCCGAAGCATCTGTTTCTAAGTGTTCAAGTGCATGATAGTGGAATGGTTGTAGTTCCCTCTCTGACCTTGATACGACTCCTTACTGTACTTGAGGCACCATTCACAATCCATGGAGGGTTTCATCTCATAGATGGCCTCTGGGGCTGGTCACTACATCTGTTCGGACGCGTAAAGAAGATATCCGATGATAAGCGAGATGCCCAATGTAGCTTGGTCTATCTTAAGTTACAGCAACATGGATTGTTTGTTGTACATCTTACTGATGGAAATTCTCTCTGTTCATGCCACTATACTGATGCACTTGCTTTTGAGTGGGGCTACAACCATATTTCTTACAGACAACTTCTAGAGATCTGTTGCAAGCGACTGAAGTGTAAATGGAGAATACAATCTGGGCTAGTACAGACCACATTCAGCCGAATTGGTGCAGTAACCAGTGGAACAATGGGACTGTTGGTTGTGCAATTACCAGAGTGTATTGATGACCAACTAGCAGAATTGCTGAAGGAAAATTTTAATGAGATGCCAAAGTGCAGTGTTACTCCTATATCTTGTGAGAGTGGATGTAAGCTGCATAACACATCATTCTTTATCTGGCGGACAAGTGTTGTCTGCCTTCTTCTCTGTTGCTATGATCAATTTCAATGGAAGCTGGCTGGGTTATGCTATCACCTGTCTAACTGTTGTCCAGTGACACTACTTGGGCTGCCGGTGTCAGCAAACTGTTTGACTCGGAGATATGCAGGTCACAAGAACCAGGTCTACCACATGAAGTTGTCTCATTCTAATCATTGTCAAGAGGGAATAAACTTGCAAGTGGAGCAGATATGGTGTGCAATTACGAGTAATACTATTGATGCTTATCCTTGTGGTGGTGAAGACCATGCACGTGAATCATTGTTCAACATGGAGCTTGTACATGCGAAGGAGTTCGATGTGCATGGCATAGAAGTTTCCCTACGCAACAAGATCATATTTGTGTTTGAATTTCACTTGCATGTTGTTGCCAGGTGGAGCTCTTACGGTGTAAACTTTGGTGAAATGGAAAACCAAGTGTATGTGCAAACACATTCCATTGGATCGTTGGCCGGGGCACCTCTACAGAAGCAGCAAATGGAGCTGCAATATTATGGAAATTGTGCCATTAACTCTCTTCATCTGCACCGATTGGTGGCAAGGAAGGGGAGAGCAACAGGTTCATTGTTTGATAAATTCTTGGAGGCTTCCATTATGTGCATAAACTGTGAGGACCACTGCCGGGGCTTCCTAAGCTCACTTCTATCTGATTGGCCGAAGTTTGAGAATAGCATCACAGAACTGAAGGAATATCGGGACCAGGGTGGCTTTAGACTGCAATTTTCTTTCAATGTTATGCCCATCTTACAAGGGCACTGGT